GATAATGTTATTGCTTTCATATATTGTTTTATAAATTCCACCGAGGTAAGTGGATGGTAAAGGTTTTATTATTAATAAAAGGATTTGTCGTAAATCATGCTCCATTGGTCTTTTGTATTTTCTACCCACCTTTACCTCCGTGACGGTGAGATATCGTGATGTCCTTACTGGGCTAGTGTAGCTCATTCCTTATTTAATCATTTCAGATCAGGAAGACATGGTTCCCGAGCCCGTTTCGCAGGAGGATGACGAAGGGGATGCCTAGAGACCCCATAGTCATACTCATAGCTTTACTTTCGAGTTTCTTTTTTTTGTTAGTTTAATCTTTTATATTTTGAGCACGTTTTTGGTTTTCGTGTAAAGGATGTTAACTGAAATTTTGATCTCGCTTCCGTATTTGATATTTTTGAATATAAATTCCATTTTAAATTTCCGAGGCTGCTACAGAGGGTTCGAAGTACCAAGCACATTTTTAGAAACGACAGTAGTCACTATAATATTATCGAGCCCAGCAGACGAAAGGGCATCGTGCATACTTTGTATTGCTTGTGCAACAAATGAACTGTTTTCACCGGGAATAATTTCATTGCCTATGGTGATCCATCTAAAAGAAATGGAGCCAGCATAGGGAGCAATGTTAGCTTTAACCCACTCGCTTGCTGCATCTGCAGTTTGTGCTAGGTGTGGTACGTCTTCATTTTTAGGACCAACAGCAACAAGAAGTCCCGATCCACGTAAGGCATCGAGTACTTCCGGATATGGTTCGTAGATTTTAAGATATTCTATACCACTTTTTTTATACAAGTTTATCACATCTGTCGGAGAAGGAAGATTGTCGCCATTCAACCCATAACAAACACCTATGCGTTTTGCACCTGTAACATTGTATTTTAAAATACGAACCTTTAAACTTATATATATATTTTTTTATAAAGAATCATTTAAGCATTTGAAAGCATAAATGCAAGATCAAATTCTTACCAACAAAACTAAACATTTGAAGCACTAGCAGGAGTGTTGTAGTAAACATGAATATATCCCACTTCGACCCCATTTTCAATGCAAGTTCTCGCCTTCAACAAAGTTTTTTTTTTTTCTTTCTTTTCTCTAGTTTACAGAAAGATGAAATACAAATATATATCTATATATATATATATTCATGTAACATAAGACTGCATTTAATGTCTCTAAATATTGACATGCAATGGGTTTAAAACATGAGAGAGAATAATTGCACATTCCTGAAAATTAATTATTGAAAATCCTTTATTTAGAAGTTTTTTACAATTGGTAAAGGCTTTAATTGCTTTACATATTTCAGTAAATTATAAGTTGTAATAATTGGTCTCAAAATTTAGTACATGATTAATTTTAAAATTTAAAAAATGTATAAAAATATAATTTTAAAATTAATAAATTTTTATTAAATGTGAAATTAAAAAAAAATAGATTGAAGATGAAATTAAAAATAATTTTGAGAAAAACGGGTGAAAATTTGAGTTTGAATGGTGTTTTTGAAAGAAAAATAAAAAATTGTGGGTCAAAATATAATTACATAAAATTACACAACGTAGGATCGACCAGTCAGCGGTCCCGACGAACCGAAACACGCCGCGTGGTAAGACACGTTGACTCGTTGCCACGTGGAAGACCACGCTGGCAATCCGCGTGCCTACAATCTGACGGCCTGGAAGTGTTCCCGCACGCGTGAACAGTTCGGATCTGTTCCCTCCTCAGGTGCGATCGGACGGTCGCGATTAAACATGATGAACGGTCCAGATTCGTTTCTTCTTTAAACGCGATCGGATGGTCGAGATCAAATCGCGATGAATGGTACAGATTCATTTTCTCTTTAAATGCGATCAGACGGTCGAGATCAAATGCGATAAACGACCAAGATTTAAGCGAGATAGGTATAAATATCTCGCATTATACCGAACCCAAACCCTAGCCGCCGGCCTTCCGCTGAAGAAGAAGAACCAATTGCTGGAGAAGGGAGCCGACTGCCGCCCGCGGCGCTGGAACCACCTCTGACTACTAAAAAAAAGTAAAAAATTTTCTATCTGCTCGAAATTTGATTTCGAGTACCTCCATGGCCAAATCGGAGGAACAATAACGGCGGATAAACTGAAAACTACGGATAAAGTCTGACGGAACCGCCGCGAGTAAAACCTGAAACTGCTTCCAATGAGTCCCTTCTCGTTTCTCATACTGTACAATTTTTCTACTATTGTGTTCACCGTTCTATTTTCTACAGGTTGATTGAAGAAAAACATCTAGTCGCGAAGCTGAGCTGGCAAAGCCACCACATCAAAAAATCCTACCGCTGATAGGTTTTCGTTTTTAACTTTTTTCGGTCAACCGAGACACGCTAACGTGTTTTCTCGCAGGGATGTGTATAAAACCGGCCGAAACCGGACAGGCTGAGGCAAATCGACGTTGCAGGCAGCAATGCCGTCACTGGAGCACGACGATACCACTGTGCTGAAATTCTGAAATTGGTTGAAAAATATTTTTAACATCGATTTTGGATTTTATGAGGTATTTTTAGGTACGTGAAGCGTGTTTTAATCTCCGCAGAAAAATTCAGGAAACTCAGGGACCGCTAGTAGGTATAGTAAAAAGTTCAGTATTTTGGACATCGATTCAGGTAAGAATCTCTCATCTTATTCTTTGTTATGGTATTGACGCTTAATAATTTGTAATATAGTATTTTGTATAATTTAAAAAACTTTAAGAATAATTACAGGTTATCAATGGAGCCGAAACTGGTTAGTCATTTATTTGTTATCCTGTTTAATTGATTGTTGAATTTACAGCTTTAAATACATGATGATATACTAGAATGTTTGAATAATTCAGTTGTGCTTTCTTGATATATATATTGTTTGTCTTGCATGATTTATGATTGATTTATGAAATTAGAAATTAATATGCAAACGAAAAATTAATTGGTCATATGAATTAATGAATAATAGCCTCATTAAATATCCTGAAAGATTGTGGACGGACTGGGTACATAGGAAACCCTACCGTAAACGTTGTCTCATACCGGACAGTGTATCAAGAAATGATATTTTTGGTGCTCATACCAAACAGGGTATGAGGACGGCCCGATTTACCCCCTATACCGGATGGAATATTGAGGGATAATATTTTTAGTGGTCATACTAGATGGGGTATGAGGACAACCGATTAATTAACAATATTGGATATTGATTCACGCATAGTAAGACATCCCTATGGACCCCCAAGGGTACCAATAGGTAAATAAAAAGAAAAAATTATTATTATTGCTCACTTGAATATGATATTGGAATATTATTTGAGTTATTGTCTCTATAGATCGATTTTGAAAATCTCGCAATAGTAAATATATACAATAAATAATTTTCTTTATGATAAATGAATTTACTTAAATCAAGAGCTCTATTGGTTGTTTTTATAATTTTTACCAATTTTCAATTTATGTATCGGTGAGTAGTGTGATATTCTTACTGGGTTAATGTAGTTTACAATTTCATTAACTATTTCATATTAAAAGGACCAAGACCCAGATCTCGATCAACAAGAGGATTATAAACAGTTTACCATTCGGACTTCCTTTAAAAGTTAGTGAATGTCTTTTTAGAATACTCAATTATTGGTTTTTTGTTTATTTACTTGAGTTTCTTAATTTCTTTTCGAATGAACATTTCCGTAATCTTATTGACTTCTAAATTATTATGTAAGGAATGTAAACCTTAAATTCTATTATTTCGCTTACGTATTTAATTAATGACTTTATTTTCTTTTAAGTTACGAATCTTTACATAAATGTTCTCTCACTCAAAGAAAAAAGTTATTGTTTATCTCAAAAATGTATTTATAAATATTTTTTTTTTAAAAAAATACTATTTTAGATCTATATCCTCTAATAACTATTTACTAATTACAGGACTCCTATATTTTTTAGTTTATATATATTCATCACTTAATTTAAAATAACATTTATGTTAAGATTACTCATCCAACTTAATTCCTTAACATAGTTAATATTAAAACTGGAATTAATTAAAAATTAAAAGCTAGAAGGATAATGTCTAACATTGTAGTTTTCCTCCATGGCAGAAGGGTTTGGTAACAATATAATTTGGCGATATCTGCTTGAAATTTAATTAGAACTAAATTTTCAGCTTGTAGCATAATTTTAGAAGAATTATATAAATATATATATATATATAACTATGATACATGAGATGTGTAAAGCAAATAAACAATTAGGAGTTTAAAATAGTATGTAATTTTAGAGTTTCTAATCAACTAAAAATTTAAATAGATAGTCATTATATATATATTTGCAGTTAATTAAAAATTAGATTTTAATTTTATATTTAAAAATTTTAAATAAATAATTAGTACTAATTAAAATAATGTAGTTTAATTCTAACATTAAATTATGAAATGCTTTATGAATTCTAAACGTTAAATTTTCAACAATCATTGTTGAAATAATTAAAATAATTAAATCATTATTGTAAATAATAAAATAAAATTATTTAAAAAAATCGAAGAATTACCACGTGCCAATTCCCTATATTTCTTATATACATTCCCATATATTTCTTCATTCCTATTCTTTTTCATATTTCCTTTAATTTTCTATATTTACTTGTACTTATTTTTCTTATACCTTTATTTTAAAAAATTCATGTCTTCGTTTCTTTTTTTTTTTTCAAAGATGTAATTTTGATAAAATTTTAATTCACTATACGTTTTAATTTCAATAAAAATCTTTATTCGAAATTTTTACTTTTAATATAACTCTGCATTATATAATAATTAGTCATAATTAATTAATCTTTTAATTAAATATTTTAATTCCAGTAGGATCTTAAATTAGACTGATAATATAATTTTTAATCTAAATAAATAGTAATTCTTCCTAAATATAAATAATTAAAATAAATTCTACTTTCTCATAATCGTAAATTGGATAAATTATAAATCTATTCAAATCTTTTTCAATTATATCTAAAAAGTAAAAAGTTAAAAAAATATTCTATTTAAATAAACTACATATTCTAATTAAATTTATCTTAAATGTAACTGAAAAAAAATAAAAACATTATTTTATTAAAATTATTATATCAAACTAAAATATATCTATTATCTATTATAGAAGCAATATTACCAGAAATCACTGTAACACAGAAATTAAGTTCAACTGCTAAACTCAAATGACCAATGCACCAGAAGTAAAATCTTGTTTTAGTGCTAAAAGTACCAGCCAGAACCCACACGGAGTTGCCGCTTACTGAGTAGATGAGCTTCATTAGCTGGAGTTCATCCCGAACAGATGCAAATACATGCCCTTGAGCATATTTAAAAAAGTGTGCTAGAAGGAGGAATGGGCGAGTTAATATCATTAGACAGCTAATAATACTTGCATAACTGATATGCGAGGCAAAGATTCACGAAAACAATTTAAAGAATTTACAATAAGGCAATCATCTGCAACAGAGTTGAATCTAGATGCAACAAAGTAGCTGAAATTATACTTTCTCATTTAACTATCACAAAGGAGGTTTCCAAGGGTCCAATACGGTGCTTGAGAATAATAAAATGACACAAACATTTACAATCGGAGAACTACTCCGTATATTGCTTGATTAAATAAAACCTACACATGCTTCAATGATATTCTCCCAGTTTCAAGCTCCAAACATCAGTATCTCTGAATTGCTCACTCGGAGTGTGAGGTCCAGTAAATCAGTCCACTGCAAAAGGAAAGAAATGACCAAAATCAATCAATTGATGCTTGACAAGAATTAAGAAATACACAAATAGTGTCAATTCCAATCTAGCCAATGAAAGGTGGAGGAGCAAGTATGCATTATGCACACACAAGCATACATATAAGTGCACATACAGATCACATGTAACACGCAAACCACCATCAAACACAAAGGAAGAAAAAAATCAATTGGTTCCAGACATGAGGCACTGAAATGCACGCCGAAGTGCGCTTAAATTCCAATGAGCAGGAAAAAAAAAACAGAGTTTCGAGGAGAC